CCTGTTGATACAGTTGAGAAATTAAGAAACTAGAAAATATCTGGGTGTTGTCCATAAGCTTAGTCCTATCACATTTATTATTGGGTACATTATACTTCATGTGATGCTATTGTAAGTTGCATAATATTCTGTTAGTTATGTATGGCCAGGCTACAAAGTGGATCAGCTGTAACAGTCTATGTCTTAGTGTCACTTCAGTCAGAAATGGAAGGTCTTATAGCATATGGTACCTGGATGAAGTTTGAGATGTGATTTGATTTTTAAATGAAGGGGGAAGAAAAAGTTCCATTGCAAAAATTACCTGCCAGCTTGTTGAAGCCAAGGGAGAGAATGTTTTGTCATCAAAGTGTATCATTTGGGAAAGGAGAGCAAGGATAAATGATGAAATCTAGGAAATTCATATCTAGGGTGAAAAATAAGTTTTAATAAAGGGCGGAACAAGGCACAAAATTGGACTTATCCCCTTTATGTTGTGCTCACTAAGGGTTGCCACACATTGGAAATAATTCTGGAAATGGTAATCAAAAGGCCATCATTGTTAATTAGAGAAATATAATATAAATAATTATTGATTAAAGAAACCAAATTAAAATAATCTTGAGATATCATTTTACTCCTATCAGATTGGCTAAAGTGACTAAAGGGAAAATGACAAATGGTGGAGAGGATGTGGAAAAATTTGGACACTAATTCATTGTTGGTGGAATTGTGAGCAAATTCAACCATTTTGGAGAGCAATCTAGAATTATGCCCAGAGTTATTAAACTGCCTATACCCTTTAACCCAGTAATACCATTACTAGGTCTATTCCCAGAGATGATTAGGGGAAAAAAAGAATTGATATGTTCTAAAATATTTATTGCAGCTCTCTTTGTAGTGGCAAAGAACTGGAAGTTTCTGGGATGCCCATCAATGGGGGAAATGGCTGAACAAGTTGTGGTTTATGATTGTGATGGAATGCCACTGTGGTATAAGAAATGATGAGCTCGATGATCTTAGAAAAACATGGATAGACTTACACAAAATAATGAAGAGATGAGTAAGCAGAACCAAGAGAATGTTGTATACAGCAACAGCGATATTGTTTTAGGAATGACTTTGAGTGACTAAGTCATTTTGACTATTATAAATACCCAGATTAGCTATAAAGGACCTATGAAGGGAGATGCTATCTGCATAACTGATGAATAGACGTATATTTAGAATGATTTGACATATATGTGTGCACACATGCATATGTATATACATCATGTATATCATTATCTAGTATGTATATAGGGGTCTGTGGGGATGTTCAAAGAGGAGTAGTACCTCTAGTGTGAGGGCTTGCTAAGCCCTTTTCAAGGTTGCTTTTCCACCCAGTGGCCACAACCAGGGAAACCTTATCAGCAGACAAGGTAAACCAGGTTAAGGGCAACCAACCTGTGGGGGAGATAGGGGAATGTCTAGTTCAAGCATGTGAAGGCTTCCCCTGGCTGAATGATGAGACCAATTTGTTCCAAAAGCCATGAAGACAGCTGAAGCAGGCTCTGTAGAGTGCTTAGAGCTTGGTTGGGCATTGAAGACACCAAGGCCAAGCACTGCATTTTATGCCATTGCTAGTTTTCTTGACTTTTGTCCAGTCATGAGACTTAGAAGAGAGAGTGAGGCTGACAACTTCTCTGCCTCACTTTAATCGAATTCATGTGCAAGCCAAGATATTACTCCTAATGTCATTGGTCCACTTCTAAAACAAAGGATAAAAAACAGCAGTATGTATATAAATATATACATATGTATTTATAAAATATAGGGGTAGATATAGATATATACATATGTGCATATATTACGCATGCAGACATGCACATGTATACATACATATGTGTATATACACATATACCATGTGGATCTATATCTAGTTTATAAATGTGTATTTACTCAATCAAATGTAAGCTTCTTAAGAACTTTTGACTTTTGATTTTATATTCTTCCTCTCTAACACAGTCCCTGGAATAGCAGATGATTTATAAATGGGTGTTGATTGATTGTTTCTCACACAATGTAGAACTACCAACATTTTAGACATACCTAGTTCAGCTCCAGATCACTGCAATAAAGACAACATTGCAATAAGGCAAGCCACACAAATTTTTTGGTTTCCTAGTGCATACAAAAGTGATGTTTATACTATACTGTAGTCTACTAAGTGTGCAATAACATTATGTCTAAAAAATGCACATACCTTAATTAAAATAGACTTTATTACTAAAAAAATACTAAGCATCATCTGAACCTTCAGCAAGTCATAATCTTTTTGATGGAGGAGGTTGTTGCCTCAGTGTTGATGGCTATTGACCGATCACTGTAGTGATTGCTGAAAGTTGGGGTGACTGTGGCAATTTCTAAAAATAAATGAAGTTTGCCATGTCAATTGACTTTTCCTTTCATGAAAAATTTCACTGTAGCATGCAATGATTTTTGATAGCATTTTCTACACAGTAGAACTTCTTTCAGAATCGAAGTCAATCCTCTCAAACCCTTCTGCTGCTTTATCAACTAAGTGTCTGTAATATTCTTCCATATTATTGTGTCTCAGGGGATAAGGAGGCTTGAGGAGAGGAACTGAGACCAGGAAGGCCAGTTGCTGAAGCATTCAGAACACTCACATTTATCATTTAGGTTTATCCGTTTATATGGGTGTGGTCCGTGGCACCCCAAAACAATTACACTAGGAACATCAAAGATCACTGATTACAGATCCCCATAACAGATATAATAATAATTATAATGATGAAAAAGTTTGAAATATTATGGGAGTTACCAAAATGTGACACAGAGACATGATGTGAGCACATGCTGTTGGAAAAATGGTGTCAATAGACTTGCTTCAGGCGGGGTTACCCCAAACCTTCAATTGTAAGAAAACACAGTATCTGTGAAGCACAATAAAATGAAGTATGCCTGTACTCAACCAGGGAGTAGACAGAGCCCTGGATTTAGAGTTAGCATCCCAGGTCTGATACTTTTTAGCTATGTTGTTATGGGGAAGTCCCATAGTCCCTTTGAACCCAAGTTTTGATCTGAATAGCAATGGGAGTGCTAATATTTGTACTGTCTACCTAATGGCATTGTTGTAAGAAAAGAACTCTGTAAGCCTTGAAACACCATCCAAATGGGAGTTCTTATTACCATGTATTTATAGTCTTAGTAAAATCTTGCCCTCAGGGAAAGCTTCTGATTATGGTATTAGTGTATGGACTCGAGCACATAGATATGAATGTAATGAGCCCAGTTTCCTTCTTCGCCCCTCTTTACACTGAGAACAAGCTATCTTTCGGCAATATATTGTTTATGTAATGTAAGCATTTTATGTGCTTACACATATTATAATAATTAGCATTTTCCCCTTTTCTTCTGTCTTTTAGTCTCTCCCAACTCCCACACAATTATGAGAAAGAAAATAAAAAGAAAGGAAATAGTTACTTTCCGGCATAAATTCCAACGTTGCTCTTTTTTCCTCCTATGTACCCATGGAGGAAAGATTAAAGCCCTTCTCACTCAGTGCTCTATGCAGGCCCAGGAATCTTGCTGTAAGTGTAACAGGGGAATGCAAAGGACGCTCTCTTCCTCATTACCTACCCATGCTGGTCAGGTTCAGATGCAGGGGATTATGCGGTATGGCAAATGTGAATTGACTTTGACTTGTCATTAAGGAGACAGCTAAGAAGCAGCTATTGCTTTTCTTGGCCAGCTCTTATCACATCCCCAGTTGTGGCCAAGATGTACCCGTAATTGGGTCAGTGTTGTCTGAGGTGGGCAGCAGAGAGCCATAAAGTACAGTGAATGTCTTCAAACCTCTATACCTGGGTGTGGCATCTACAATAGACTGTTCATTTCTCTTAGTCAACCAGCAAATATTTATTGTGACTACTATGTGCTAGGCCCTGTACTAAGCGCTTGGGATAGAACCACAAACAGACAACCTCTGACCTTCAGGATCTTACAATATAATGGGAAAAGATAATACACAAGAGAAAGCTGAAAAGGAGGGCCCAAAGGGCAGGATGAAGTCTGGTCCAATGAGCTTATTTGAATGGGAAATGAAAGAGATGGCTGGCCTGAGAATCCTCTTTCAGTGTAGGCTTTGGGAGGATTTCTTTGCTCCACCCTTCAGTCCTACAATAGGAGGCAGAAGTTATTGAAGATGCTCAGGATATTACTCAGTCTCATAGAATAATTAGTCTCCTAATAACATATACAGTTAACCACACATGTTCTTCACTAAAATAGTCACTGCTGTAAAACTCTTTGACATGAGGTCCATCTCCCCATTTCTTTGTGTCAAGGAAATCTTTGTCAATATTGAGGGTACTGGGATGTTATGTTTGCTAGAAAATCAAACATTTCTCCAGACAGATTCGATAGGTATTTGGAGCATATTGCAAATGTGATAATATTTATTGCTATCCAAAGGCCAGGACCAAATACAAAGTTCCCATACTAACATGGAATGAAAGAGAGTGATTACTTTAGCATTAAAAGATGCAGATCAAAGTCCTGGCTCTGTTATTTGCTTACCTTGACCAAGTCCTTTCATGTTTAGGGTCATCATTTCCCTCATCTGTAAAACAGGAATATTCCTTTTTTTAATACTTCCCTGAAAGGGTAAAGAAACTCCTTTAGCTTTTTCATTTTTAAAAATTTTTTTCCTTTACCTTTTTTGTAAATATGAAATGTTTTTATTTAGTTGTCCATGGTTAGCCTTGTTTCAACCGAATAACTCTGATATGTCAGTGCAAGAGAAACAAATTATGAATTTTCCAGACTACTTGAGCCCCAGAGCATGACCGAAAATTCATGGAGCAGTTATAAAAAGAGCGTGTTTGGTTGGTTTAATTTTAATTAAAAATATATGACTCTTATAAAGCGTTTAGTTGGTAGCCATGGAGGGAACAGGTATAGGATTATTCCATTTATTGGACCCAATTTTTAAGAACTTGATGCCTCTTTATTTTCCTTAGGAGTCCCAGTTGAAAGCTCTGAAGGAGACTGTCCAACTCTGCCTGACATCTGTTCTGCGCAATCAACCTCCAGCTATGAGCCTAATGCCGTCCAAACTAACTGAGAGGAGGCTGCCATCACCCAATACAAATGACTCAAAAGTTCCAGCTGCTGTGACAAGCAAAAAGGTACATTTTATTCAGGCATCTAAAAATGAAATAAGACAAAGTACTCCTTTGACAGTTTCTCCTGCAAGACTATCAAAGTGGAACCAAGAAGGATTTCAAATTCATTGAAAGATTAAGAAGAATCTAGACGATCATGCTAGCCCTGTTTCTAATGTCACCAAAGTTACTTTGCAAAAGTTTTAAACCAGCCTTTTTCACCAAGGAAACAGTTCCTCTCTAACATGTTACAAATTCAGTATGTCAGACTAATTGGATTACGAGCCCAACCAAACTTAATGAAAGGTCAATTATATATACATATTTTAAAGGAATTCAATTTTGTTACCTGAAGTCGATTTGAATCTTGAAAGCAATTTCTCTTAAGCCAGTTTCTCATTATTAGAATTACATGAATTAGAGATTTGACTTGTAATGGTGGATAGTAGGCTGACCTTGAATCTAGGAAGACATAGCTTCACATCCTAATTCCGACACATGTTGGCTCTGTACCCTAGAGTAAAGCACTTAACCTTTCATGCTTTCAGCAGTGCACCCAGATTCAGTGGCAGAGAAGGTGCCAATCTGTTTAGGTGGAGGGAGTTTTCTCACCTGAGATTTCCTTATACCATATTAACCACAGTTCTAGTTCTTGTCCTTAAGAAGTAAGTGTAAAACTAAAGGGCGTAAAACTAAAATAGAGATGAATCCTTGCCATCTACAGAGTGACTTAGAAAACTACAAATTAACATTATTTATGTTGTGTTGTATTTTTATTTATTTGTTTTGTTAAACGTTCCTCAATTATATTTTAATCTGCTTCGAAAACACCGAGGAGTGTTGCTGGCAGCTTGTGGCTAAATACTGCCCCAATGATTTTGTTTATCCTTAATTTTCTCAGCAAACCTTGCTTTTGTTTGGTTTTGTTTGTTTTTTCTTTCCAATGGGCAAACACGAATTACGGCTCAGCCATTATCTCATTTATCCCAAATTTCCAATGTCTCATATGTAGAATTAATATTAATGAGGTTCTACTCTAAAATTAAATGATATGTTCACCAGAAGATTAATTGCCTGTTTAGGTGGCCAATAGTTGTTCGTGATGAAGATGATGTATACTAATTAGGATTTCTCTTCTTTTTTGCTATCTTAATCTTTCTTGTTTTCTTGGATGTGCTCAGGTATTGAGATGGTGGTGGATGGAGAAGGGGCTGTTATTTTTGTGAAAGGAAAGTATTTCTTATATCAGGACAAAATATCTAACAGTAATAAACCTCATATCATGAATTTCTGTTTGTATACTGGCCAGTTATCCTTCGGTGTCCTGAATCCAGCTCTGTAATTTCACCAAGTAATCTGCAAACAGGTTTCTCAGTCAAAAATCGTTTCACAGACAAGTGTTTCCATTTATCTTATCACTCTGTTAGGCAGCATTACATGCTGCAAGTGTAAGAACAGGGAGTGCTGGGGTTTAAGCTAGGCTTTAAAGCCAGAAATGGTTTTCCTTGGGTGTGAAAGTGTCTGTTTATTTCTATCAACTTCCCTTCTCTTCGAAAAAGATGCGATCTTCATCCAAATAGCCTATTTCCTGCTAGTGATAGGTGGTGAGGCTTTCTGAACTGCACATTTATTCAAGGAGTTGGGAAGAACTTATAGTGACTTTTGCAGAGGGTCTCTGTAGAGTACAGAGATTTTCCAAAGAATGTTCTTAAAATCTCTAATATAAGAGTACATATTGTACATGTAAAGGTTTACATCGACAGAATGTGAAGTCTTTAAAGGCAGGGAATGTTTCATTTTTATAATTTTACCCCTAACATCTATTATGCTGCCTGACTCATCAAAGGCACTAAATAAATGCTTATTGAATGAGAGGATGTTAATAAAGTTGTTGTTGTTGTTTAATCATTTTCAGTCATGCCCGACTCTTTGTGACCCCATTTGGGGTTTTCTTGGCAGAGATACTAGAGTGGTTTGCCATTTCCTTCTCCAGTTCATTTTACAGATGAGGAAACTGAGGCAAACGGGGTGAAGTGACTTGCCTGGGGTGGCACAGCCAATAAATGTCTGAGGCCAGATTTGAATTCAGATCTTCCTGATTCCAGGCCCAGTACTTGATTCATTGTGCAGCCTAACTGCCCATTCATAATGTATTTAAAGGCATGTTATGAAACATTTCACAGAAATGTAGAGTTCAAAGGAATCTGAAAGATTACTGAATTCAAAAGGAACCTCACCAAGAACCAATCTGTAACATTTTTGGCAAATGGTTATCCAGTCTCTACTTGGAGTCCTCCAGTGACTGAGCACTCAGATATTTCCTCAGGCAGCCCTTTCCAGTGTTGGTCAGTACTTGTTCTCTTGAAAATTAATTCATTTCAAGTTATTAACAAATTAGAGCATATCACAGAATGGTGACCAGGGTTGTAGAGGGACTGAAAAAATGTAATAACGCAAGAAACCGATAAGGGACCAGTGAAAGGAGTTTGGACAGGAGAAGGGAAGATATAAGGGGCACATCTTAGCCATCTCCAGGTATTTGAAGGACTTTCACATGGATGTCTTTATATTGGTTTTGCTTGATGTCAATGACCATTGTGTCAAAAACACAGAAGGGCAAATTTTAGCTCAATATTAGGGAGATATTCCTGAAAATTATTGTTGTAAAAAAGTGAAGTGGGCTGTCTTAAAATATGTTGATTTCCCAACAGAGGATATCTTGAGGCCTAGTCCAGATAATCACTAATTGAAGAGATTCTAGAAGGGATTCCTAATTAAGTACAGATTGGACCAGATCACCTTTGAGAGCTTTTCTAAACGCTGAGATTCTATGATTCTATTAAGCATCTAATTGCTGCAGGTATTACATCTCTAATTGCCATGCCTTTGCAAAGGCTGTCTACCAAATCCTGATTCCTCTACCTTCTTGCCTTCTCTTTTTGGAATCTCTAACTTCTTTCAAGCCTGAACTCAAGTTAAAACCAAAACAAGAAACCTTTCCTGATGCCCCAAATGTTAATGTTCTACATGCCCCAAATTATTATTATTATTATTACTTTGTATTGCTTATCTGTATATGTGTTTTTTACTTCCAGTAAGTATCTAGTTTCTTAGGGTAAGGACCATATTGTGTTTGTCATTGTACTTCCATCATCTGGAATTTTATGTAGCACCCAATAGTATCTTAATATATGCTTAGTGATCTGAATTGAATAGAATTAACTGGGACTAAGCAGTCAAGCAAAATACCAACCATTTATTAAATGCTTACTGTGTGTCAGGAACTACAGTCCTTGCCTTCTATCAAGGGAGATAACATGTCCAATGTATATTGATGTGCATGTATAGGTATTTGTACATATATGCATACACATACATGTATTTATAATCTCTATGCACTGTCATATATTGTTAGAGTGTATTATTTATATACACATATATACATTATGTACAGAATTCTACACATAAAATATGCATCATATATACTCACTAACATATATATTACATATATAGACTAAAGTCTTAGAAAGTAGAAAACGGGTAAGTTTTGTGGAGAATATACTAACAGTAGAGGCTAGGACAGAGGAAAACCAAGGTACTAAGAAAGGGCTTTTGCAGAAGGAGAGGCTTGAGTTGAGTCTTAATTCCAAGAGACAGATAGGAGGAAGGAGAGTGCTTCTTAGAAGGGAAATGGCCAGGGCAAAGGCATAGGGGGAGGAGATGGTATCCTGGGTGAAGACGAGCAAGTAAGTCAGGATGGTTAAACAATGTAAGTCCAAGAGGGGGGTAATTTGTAGACAGACTGGAAAAAAATAAAATAGGATCAGGTTGTGAAGAGTTTTTAATACCCAACAGAGAAGTTTCTGTGGTCCTAAAGTTAAAAGGAAGTGATTAAATTCCTTGAGTATTTGGAACATGGAAGAAGCCAGTCTGACCTTAACTATATGCCTTTGACAACTTTGATGAAAAATAGATTGGAAAGGGGAGAGACTTGAGACACGATCAGTCATTGGGCTGCTGAGTCCATTGGACAGGCCCTAAAGTAGGGTGATTGCTGCCTGATAAGGGGAAGCATTTATGCCATATCATGTAGAATGAATGAGAGTAAAGAGAAAAAAATGGCAGTGACTTTGGGAGCCTGAGTGACTGAGAAGGAGAATGAATGGTTGTGCCCTCAGCAGTAATAGAAGCTTGGAAGAAGAGTGGGTTGGCCATACCTTACACCAAGATAAGGTCAAAATGGGCACATGATTTAGATATAAAGGGTGATACCCTAAGTAAATTAGGAAAGCAAGGAATAGTTTACCTGTCAGATCTATGGAGAAGGAAGAATTTATGACCAAACAAGAGACAGAGAATATTATGAAATGCAAAATGGATAATTTTGATTTAATTAAATTAAAAAGGTTTTGTACAAACAAAACCGATGCAACCAAGATTAGAAGGAAAGCAGAAAACTGGGCAACAATTTTTACAGCTGGTATTTCTCATAAAGGCCTCCTTTCTCAAATATATGGTGAACTGAACCAAATTTATAAGAAGGCAAATCATTCCCCAATTGATAAATGGTCAAAGGATATGAACAGGCAGTTTTTAAATGAAGAAATTAAAGCTCTCTCTGATCATATGAAAAAATGCTCTAAATAACTATTGATTAGAGAAATGCAAATTAAAACAACTCTGAGGTATCACATTACACCTATCAGATTGGCTAATATGACAGAAAAGGAAAATGATAAATGTTGGAGAATATGTGGGAAAATTAGAATACTAATGCATTGTAGGTGGAGGTGTGAACTGATCCAACCATTCTGGAGAGAAATTTGGAACTATGCCCAAAGGGCTATAAAACCATAGCTTTTGACCCAGCAATACCACTACTAGGTCTGTATCCCTAATAGATGATTAAAAAAAAGGAAGAGGACCCACGTGTACAAAAATATTTATAGCAGGTCTTTTTGTGGTGGCCAAAAATTGAAAATTGAGAGGATGCCCATCAATTGGGGAATGACTGAACAAGTTGT